CAGCCCTCCCCGCCTTGCGCCCTCACACCTCGGCCTCTTCCCTGCTCTTCTCCGCGGTTGCATCTGCCCCGGGACCACCTCACATCCCACCGAAGGTCCGCCCCGGTGCTCCTCCCGAGGCATCACACCAGGAGTTAGTTAACTTGAACCCGAAACATGCCCCACAGCAGTGGACTCATCCACAGCCCAGACAGTCCGATGTCACCGTGTCCCTAGCACAGGCCCAACAGGAGGTCATCCACAGCACCCCCCAGAGAGGTTTGTTGCACGTGGGCTTTACCTGCCAAGCACAAGCCCTGCTGGAGCCTTGCTGTTCCTAGAGAAACCTTCCTAACATGTGTCCTCCACTGCTCCTGCCACTACTCAACCTCTTCCCAATCTTAGTGAGCATTAAAAAAAAATAATCTTAATTTCAGTTTTTGTTTACCAATTGAAGGCAGCCTGCAGTTCATTCTCCACCCCTACCTTTCTCAAACAACCCCAGTTATTCAACTTCATTAGTCCCTAAAAGCTCTCGTCATTCTCCCAGTAACTTTTTGTCCCCAGTTTCTTTCTGCAATACAGTGCTGGAGGCAGCAGTGGGATTGTACTGGGTACAGCCTTGAGCTCGATATGCTACTTAAGAGCAATAAATACAGCATACCGATGATCATACAGCCCATGCACGGGCTGCAGCCATGCCTCCTTTGCACTGCGTTTCTATTTTCCCCCAGCTGTCTGACCTTTTTGGCTCTCGGTCTGGTTTGATCCCCTGTAATCCCAATTATTTTTCTGTGCACGCATGCGAGCAGAATCACCGTCTAGCCAGCGAAAGCCATCACACATGGAAAAGCCCAGCATGGCAGCCCACGTCAAAGCCTTGCATCTCTCTGTGGGAGCCCCTGGTCACAAGTAATGCACAGGTGACCGAGGAGGCCGAGCTGCAGAACTGAGTGTGAAAAGCCTGGGTGCAGGCTGTGGAAGGAGGGGGGCACACAGGGAGCTGCTGGTTTCAGCTTTTCCTTTTCGGAGCAGTGGCTGCACTAGCACGTTCATTTTTGCAGGTACCTTATATTCGGAAGCTGCTTCCTCCTGAACAGCTGGAACTTGTTTGTGAGCAGCTAGGGAAAACAACAAAAACAAAAAACCAAAACCAAACCACAACAAAAATGCTCAAATCCACCTTGAGATCAAGGAGAAAGCAGCAAACAAGAGGAATTTTAAGCCACAGTTTGGCATGTACTGTGATGTGTCTGGCAAACGCTTAAGGCACTAACTGGTGTGTGGGAGCTCATATCCTTGATCCAATATATCCTGGGGTAGCCCGACTGCGCACCCTGCGCGTAACAAAGACAGCAGGGCTGATGCATTACGTTACAAAATAAAGCCGCAATCAATCGAATGGAGAAATCAATAGTGCAGTGAACAATCCTGCTGGTTAACACAGTAGAGGCTTTAACAGCTCTGGTCTCAGTTTTTCCATGTATTTTATTTTATTTTTTAATGTGAGAATACAACTCCCAGCAGGAACTGGAAGTTTTCAGAGTGTCAAGATTTCAGCTGACGCTTGAGAAAGTCTCAGAAGTTATTAGGGCCAGGCAAATAGCAAACTAAAAAGAGAGATCCTTCTAAATCACCTGGCAGCAAAATAAAACATTGAAGTGATAGAGGTCACTCTGAACATCCCAGCAGGATTACAAAGAGGTCACCCAGTGCTGTCCCAGCTGCTATGCCAGGCTGTCTACAGAACCCCCAGTTCACCCTCCACTCTTTAGCAGCTTTCACAAACACACAAACTGCATTTCCCTAAGAGCAGCCGTACCAGCTCCAGAGCAAACGGCTGGGGCCAGGGCAAGTGCAAGTCACCTTCTGCCCACAGTCACTCTGCAAGGCACCATGTCGCAGAGAGAAGGGAAAGCTGCTGTAGGACCCAGCCCTTTTGGTTTTGCCCCCAGGTTGTGTTTTTGTAGCTCCAAAATACCCAGCACCCTGAGGTGTGACGGGAAGATGGGCAAGGTCACACATTAAACCCCAAGAGCTTTCTAGAGGGGCCTTTAAGGCGGAGCAAGAGATCACCATAGCTATTCTGGAGGTGAGGAAACCACACACTGCACTTTTCTGATGAGCCCAGGGTTACTCAGAATAGTACTTGAGGGTGCCAAGCCTCAGCTCAGGATGGGACTCAGAGCCCAAGCACACAAGGCACTGGTGGCACATGGGGTAAGTGTCCACCTCCCTGCCATTTACCTCCTTCAGAAGAGAAAGGGAAGTGCACAAGGACCCCATCTCTCACAAGGGTGCATCTCACAGCTCCCTCCAAAGGAACACACTCCAGCAGAAACTGTGCAGCTGCTGTCACTGTTGAGATCAGATCCCCCTCCTCAATAAACTGGAGAATTTGTGTCTTTGGATGCACATGCTCCAAAAAACTGTAAGATCCATTAGGCCAGGGCTGTTAGCTTTAGCAGCTGGTGGCCATCAGCATTGCTCTGATGTTCCTCCATGAAGCCTCAGGCACCCCTTTACTCCTCCCTCTCCCGTTTCTGGCATAAGGAATCTACATACTCACCCACTGCTGGGTTGCCAACTTCCTGGTGTGGCTTTTGGCCACACAGGCCTTTTCTTCCTTTGTCCTTTCTTTGCCAGCACACATGTGGCAAGGGAGGGGTCCTGGCTGCCAGAGGCAGAACAGCCACCATCTCCCACAGACACCCCAGGACAGAGGCCAGCGTGCTGCCTAGGCTCACTCTCCTCCTCAGAGGACTTTTGCCACCAGCATTCCTCAACCATGCAAAAAAATGAAAACCCAAACCAAAAACCCATGCAAACCCTCTTTTTTTTTTTTCCCCTGCTGCAAAACATATACTGAGGTCTCAAGAAGAAAGGCAATTAACTGCTGATGACTGCAGCAGCAGCCCCGAGGTAAAGCGCAGCCTCTGCTGCTCCCATCTTGGAGAGGGCCACACGCACGCAGCGAGGGCACTAGGGCATTTCATACTGCTCAGAGCTATCGCAGCGAAGATCAGCATGTACAGCAGAGAATGGAATGAGCCATTCCTGTTCTGGCTGGCTCTGTGCTACCGCAGAAACAGCTCCTAGCTACTCCCTTTCCCAAGTACAAGCGGATTTCAGTATCTTTAAGCACCAGGAGCCATCTCCCCTCTTTCCAACTGGTACTGGTATTAGCACAGCTGCTGCTACATTTCAAATAAAAGTCACAAATACCTTTCTCTTAGCAAAATGACTTCATGGAGATTTATTCACAAAGTTATCAGCTTTCACCTAGCAAAGGTACTGAACAAAAACTACCCCTGCATTCAGGTGTGGCACTGGAGAAGACACACATGACAAAATGACACCATGCCTCTGTGGACAGAGGATTTACTGCACAGCAGAAATGTCAGGGCTCTGATGCATAGATGGAAGCAGAGCTCTTCAGAGTCTCACAAATTGCCCTGAGGATGTGTCTGTCATACTCAGTTCCACATCCCCTCTGTTGATAAAGCCAAGTATCAGCTCTGGAAGAGGAGGTCCAAGGACAGAAGGGTTATGACAAACAGAAAAATCTGACCCCTAGCAGAATTTTTTAGAGACTCCACGTTACCCAGACACTTTGCTGGAGGTCACTGCAGAAATGAATGAGTGTCTGATCACCCTGGCCAGTGCTCAGATGGTGAGAGAAAGGCTGAACTGAGCTCACTGCTGGTCAAAGAGCCACGGGAACAAAGCCCTTAACCATGATGAAGGTGCTCTGAAGAGCAGCAGGGCAGATGTGGAATGCTGTCCCAGCTGCTGTCCAAGCAGTGGTTTCTCCACTAATCTTGGTCGTGGCCCATTTTGCCTGTCAGCCGCCGTCGCTGAGTCTTTGTAGTTCGCCCTGTGCTGGATTTCTGGATTTTCTTGCATGGACCCTGCCCACGTTGGAGTTTCTTTCCTTTCCTCTTTTTCCGGCTGTGCATGTGCAACGTGGCAGTCAGAGAAGAGATCCTGTGCAGGGCAGGAAGAGAGAAACGTTGGGGGACCAAAGTCTGCAGGAGCAAGGCAACACGACAGCAACACCAGGAGAACCCTGTGTGACCCAGCAGGAGTAGACACCACTCCAAGCCCCAGAGGGACTCCACTCTGCTGGGCATCACCCCTACAGGACAGGAAACCTGCAAGTCTAAGTGTGCAGTAACAACCAAAACGAATTCACTGAGCAGTGGGCTGGCCAGCCACCACAGGGTTAAATAATTCTCCGAATCCCCAAAGCAGCTGTAAATCCTGGATACTGAAAAACATGGAGAATGACACGGACCTTCAGTCCTAGAGACAAACTCTGCACCCTGCAATATAACCTTGCTTGCATTATCTGGAGAATGATGAGGTAAACAGCTCAAGGCAAAGCCTGCCCTGCACCACATCCTCCTCCTCCTGCTGCTGCTGTCACCAGGGATCAGTGGAACCGGAATGGAGCATCCAGGGCAGGCTTGTGCTCTGCCAGTGCCCTCTGCTGGCTCCTGCCCACAGGCACCACAGCATTCCCTGTCTGCAACCACGCAGCTCACAAGAGGAACACAAGAGTCTCCTTATCAGCTTGCAAAGCCTAGCAGCAAAGAGTTGAACGAATACGTACTTTTCAGACAGGAAGGGGTTTCTGGACTTCTTGGGCATCGTTCTTACAGGCTTGTTCATCACCTCTTTGCCTTTCTCTTCTTCTGATTCATCACTTTTCCCCTTAAAAATGAAGCAGAAGAGAAAAAAAACATAGACACATCAAAACAGGCAGTCTTACCATTCTGGTGTTTCTGCTGCCTTCTTGGTTTCATCTTCTTTCATGAACCATGTGGTCATGGATGAAGTTTTTTTGGTTTGTTTTGTTTTGCTTTAATTCTCTACATCTCTTGCTGCTCGAATCTCAAGGTTTCTTATTGCAGCCCCTCAGAAAGGGACAACTAGTGAAAAGTCCTACAGTAAACCACCCGAAGATCCAAAAACTTCACCATGATCTCAATGGCCATGTGATTGAAGTCTAAACTACTAACTTTTTTCTTAAATTACTATCTTTAAGTGGATTTTTTTCCACTCTTTAAGTGGATTTTCAGCTTAGAAGATGGTTGTACACTTCCCAAAGAACTCAAATCTAGCCACAAGTCACGAAGACCAAAAGGATCAAGTCAACCAGTGCCTGACAGCCTCGATGAAACAAATATGAGATCCCAGTTACAATGTTTTGAGAATAAAAGCAACCGCAACCAGAACTGAATGGTTCCCTTATTTGTGGTCCGAGAACAGGATCATGGAGAGAGAAATCCCTCCTCGCGCTAATGGCATTTTTTTTCCTGGACAGGACATAGGAAAGAGATAGAAGACAGTCCACATAGCAAAGTCTGAAATCTTGCTGTGTTTTATCTGCTTTTAAAATACTACATCCACCCCATCCAGCCCTGTGGTGCCTTTCACTTATGCAAGGTCAGTTGAGCCTAGCAAAGGATTCCAGGGAGGTTTGGAGCAAGCTGTTCAGGCAGGACATTTCTTCCTCTTTAGAGGCCAAATGTAAGTTGAGGAGGAATGTGAAAGTTGTAAGTTTCCCTTTTCATCCCTGCTCCCAGACAGCTGCATGTCTTTGGGCATATTCAGGGACTACCAGCCCTACCTAGCCAGCCCCAAGAATGCTTACAGCTGATAAATCAGAGAAGCAACAAGAGGCTTTACCACAGTGGTAGTCAGTCCCAGCTGGCGTGCCCCTGAGAGATCAAGGTCACTGATAGTGGTCACTGTTACAATGTGGTTTGGGTGGTCGATGTTCACAGACTCTGTCCGTGACGTCACCAGGTGCTCCAGTTCATCAGCTTCATCTGGGGAGACAAGAAATCCTGCACTGCAAAGTGCCCAACTTCTCACAAGGTACGGTCACTTGCTCCTGCATGGCCATCCTGGGGTGGGAGACCCAGCCTTTACATGCAGGGTTAGAGGGCAGAGGGGCCTGAACACTGGTGCTACAAGCATGAAGGGCAAGCTCCTTCTCCCAGCAGAGAGGATATGGTTAGAACCTTGCAAATGTCCTCCTGCATGGAGATGTCCTCTCTGTATACTCCTCCTGACCTCCATTCCACCAGGGACAGAGAGTTGAAGGGGTCACTGCTCAGCATCCCAGTAGGACATGTGAGGACCCAACCCCATGGGATGACATGTGAGCATCCCTGCTCCAGCTCCCATAGCCCAAGCCAAAGGTGCCAGACCACAGGCTCCCACCTCCCACCCCTAACGCTGCTGGGGTCCAGCACCCACCACCGACTCCCACGTACCGAGCGCCTCCTCCCTCTCGCTCAGCATCTTCAGGTACTCCTGGTGTCGCTGAGGGATGGAAACAGGGGTCACTGCGGAGCCTCTGTCGCTTCAGCCGCCCGTCCCCCCCTGCAGGCGGGGCAGGGGAAACCCGAAGACGACTCCTGCCTCACAGCCCGGTACCCGCGGCCTGCTCCGCTTCCAGACCATGGCGGAAAGAGGGACCTCCCCTTCTTAGTACAGGGTCAGGGGGCGTGTGTGGGTGTACCTCCTCCTTCATCTTCCTCTGCTCCTCCTTCAGTTTTTGCTTGATCTCCTCCAGCGCTGCCCTCCTCCGCTCTACCTTTCGCTTGTGGAAGCCGGTCAAGTACTCCCTGCCGTCGGGCAACACAGAAACCCCCAGCTTTTAGTAAC